TAGTATGATATTTGTATGTTTAATATATGGTTTACTAAGGCAAAAATTACAGAACCGTCACCCTGATATGCCAAGAAAACCATTATCTTCATACATGATATTCTACAAGAAAAAGAGAGACAAAATCATAAAAGAGAATCCAGGAATGGATATTGTGAGTCTTTAAAATTTAGACCATAATTTAAATTTCTTAAAAAAAAACTCTAATGACTCAAATTTTTATAGACTGAAGTCACAAAAATTATTGCACAAATGTACAAGTCCATATCTTCAGAAAAGAGGCAAAAATACAACAAACTTGCTGCTGAACAAAAAAAACAGTATGAAGAAAAATTACAAGAGTTTTAGTACGTATATTTTTTCTCAAATATTGACCAAAATATTATTTTGTTTTTGCTTTAGCAACCAACATCCTGAAGTGCCAAGACTTGTTAACAAATCTGTTACCCAGGGTCCAAAAAGACCCCTGACGCCATTTTTACTTTTCTTCCAAAGCCAAATTAAAAACATGGCTCCTGAGGATATTGATAAAGCAACCATTAAAGAGCAGTGTAGGGAGCTTTGGAAAAACTTTCCTGATAAAAAGAGACTTGTTTGGATAGAGTTAGCTTTAGAACACGAAGCAAAATATCTTGTAAGAAAGTTGTAGAAGAAATACTATAAATATTAAACTTATCACATTGTTTATTGCAGCAAGATATAAACAAATACAAGCAGATGAACCCTGACTTTGAGCCTCCACCGTTTAAGTCTATTTTAACTAAAGAAGAAAGAGCTCTCAAAGAACGGCTGTTAGATGGAAAACCTGTCAAACCTCCTAATTCTGCTTACAGTTTATTTTCTACAAAGATGCTACAAAGTGAAGAAATAAAAAGTTGTCCATTGAAAGACAGAATGAATTACATTTCAGGTTTATGGAAGAATATGAGTGAGATGGAGAAGAAAGAATATATTGATCAGACAAAACAGGTATTTCATACTGTATTTTCAACCTGTAAAATATATCTTCTAATATGATGTTTAACCTACAGTTAATAGAACAATACAAGTTAGATTATGCAAGTTATATTAAAGCACTTCCCAAAGAAAAGCGCCAAGAAGAATTGAAGACCCTGTCAAAAAGAAAACAGAAATCCATGAGTGAAATCAATAATCATACTCCAAAGAAAAAACGAAAAGAGAAAGCGGTAAAAGTAGAGGTGAAAGAAGAAGAAGAAGAAGAAGAGGTGCAAGAAGAAGTCAGTTTAAGTGAACAGCCTTTGGAAAATGATAATGAAGTTGAGGAATCATTGATGGCTAAAATCGTCGCATTAGAACCTGAACAGCCTCCCTTGTAAGTAAAACGGTACCCATACAGAAATAGACATAATTCATTTCTGCTTAATATATTTCAATTTGTCAGGAATGCATTTGGTTTGTTTCTTAAAAATTATTCTGGAAAAAAGCCGGCAAAAGACGAATTTAATAAACTAAGCCGAGCAGAAAAACGTAAATTGGAAAAAGAAGTGCAAAATTTGAAGAAAGCTTATATCAAAGACTATGAAGAATTTCTGAATGGTTTAACAAAGAAGCAGTTAAAAACTTTTTCAAAGTGGTCAAAAAAGAGGGATGAGAATAAAAAAGATCCTGAAATAAGTAAAATGGGAAAAGCTGAAGTAGGATACTGAATAGATCATCATTTTCTTGTAATATTTACATTACTTATTTTTAGGCCGAAGTATCATCATCTTCTGATTCAGAATCAGATTCGTCTAGTTCATCTTAATTTCTTTACATATTAGTTTGGTGAAAATAGGGACATCACCTATACCTCCATTCATTTTATAAATTTGACAAAAAGGGGTAATGAATGTATTAATCTAAAAAAACTTAATCGATTGCCAGTGAAAGTGACAGTGGTATAATAATTTTTTTAGACATATTCTATTTAAAAATGTTATTTCCAAATGTGTTCGTTACAAAAATTATGTTGAAGTTGTCCAAATTTATTACTTTTAAAAGAAGTATTAATGCGCTTATTCATGTATAAAGATCTGAACAATGGTGAACCTGAATACATATAATTATATCAGCAAAATACATTATCTTGTTTCAGAATTATAGATTTACCATCATTAGTTCATTTGCCTTAAGCAAATGTAATTAATTTATTTGAGTATCAACTTGATTAATTGGTAATAGAAGTATTTCTTATTCTTATATTAGTAAGAGTGTAATTTTTAAATTAGTGCTTTGTGGTACTTCACAATTTTTTGTATGATTCATTATTCTTATCAATTATTTATTGATGTACCTAATTTGGAAAATATTATCCCTAATTTACTGAAATTGTAATGCATTGTGAACTGATAAGTTTTCTGTTTTATAGATTTTTTTAATAAAAAAACTTTCCAACCATTACATTTAGTTTACCTATTTAAACAAAAAATATTTCTTATTCTTTACATTATCGATAGTAAAAGCCGGTATTACTACGAAAGCACTTGGTAAAAGGAAATAGTAACAACATAAATTATCTATCGAATTTTGAGCTCGAAATCCATATTCCGAATTCAAATATTGACTTTTCGCTTAAANGGACCTTAACGACATAAAGAAGTAAAAAATCGCCCATGCTAAAATAACGATGTAATAAATATTCATCCAACAGGACATGACAGCAGCTGCATAGCCGATTCCTAAAAAATTTGTTTGCTAAAGGAGCTATAGAAACACCAAAATATTGCTTCATTTAAAAACTTTATAAAGTTCCTTAACGTTTACTGACGTATATTTGGAAATACCTTTGAAGATTGGCGCTATTTTAAAGACGCCCAATCCACCAATTGTCATCATTTGACCAAGAGCGAGTTCCATAAAGAACATGGGAATTCCTGCTAGGAACAATGTAATGAAATATGGGACGAGGAAGGCTCCTCCGCCATTTTTATAGCAAAGATAAGGGAACCTCCAAACATTCCCCAACCCTATGGCCAAACCAACGACGGAAAGTATGAAGTCTAGTTTGGTTCCCCATGTTCCTCTCTCAGGAAGAACTTTAACGGTCTTGAATGGTTTCATTTTATTGGCCGAATTTGGTAACTCTTTCAAATTAGGCATCTCTATTTCTTCAACGTATCTGTTCAAATTGATCTTATTTTCTATGCAATCAAAGGATTCCCCTCGTTTCTCCATTGTAAATATTTTATAAATAAAATATGACTGCCCAAAATCGCGATGGAAACCGTCAGCTCATTTCAATTACTAAAGCAATCTAGAAAATTAATTAATCAATTACCAATCGGTTTGTTTAGATGCAAAATAAAACAAAATACGTTGAAAACGTTCTCCAACATTTTTTAAAACTTAAATGTCGATGCAGTCGCAGAAAATGTTCTTTGCAAAAGGAAGTCTTTGTTGTTACCTTCCAAGAGGAAACACTTTGAGAGACTGAAAAGGGAGGAACAGTTCAGTCCTGCATAATTATATCCGAACTGAAGTATGTATATGGAACAATTATTACGGCCTACTAATTTATATAACGAAGTCCTTTTGTCAAGAAAGAGAAAGAAAAAAGGGACATCTATTGTTGCCGATGTCGATAAGTGCCCAAAAATGGTAACCCCTACTCGTTCAGCCATGAATATCGAATTGGAAAAAGTTTGTTGCTGTTTTAATCATAAACAAAATGTAGGTGTATATTGTTACAATCTAGCGTTATTATGTAGGGTAGGAATGCTTTATAAACGAATATATCCGGCAACGGCTAGACTGAATCTAACAGTAACATTTATACGTCTATTATAGCTCCCATGCGATAGCCTAATCTAAAACAAATTATAGTTAGGGTGATAAACATTCTGCATCATCTCAATTGAGAGAATCATCATTGAACCCGCTGTCTCATTCGCGATCTGTTGCTATCTTTTTTTTTTTTTTAAT